TGTATCATCAGCAAGATAAAATTTGGCTAAGTATGAAGGAAGGGTTTGGGTACATACCACTAGGAGGCAACGCATAAGCTTCTCGCCTAGTTCACCGGGACACGACTCATGAAGATCTACGACCTCCTTGCTATTTTACTAGGGAAATCTAGAAGTCCATGGTGGTGCATTTCTCCTCGGAAGTGGCCCTGACATCCGAAGTAGTGGTCACCTTGGCTCTGAGTTGTGGAAGGGGCTCCTTGGAGGTTCAAGCGGCCTCGAGTTTGAGTGAGGTCCCCTCTGGCCGTTCCTCTTCGAAGAGGTCAACCACTGGCATGGCTTTGGTTGCACTCCATCCAACGGGCGTGGAAATTACGACCTGAGGAGCTTCTTGGGGAGTCACCTTCCTCTTCTTCCTCCTCATAGCCTGAAACAGACAAGAAGTTGGCAAACCGAACATGTTTCCTGCATGAGAAGTCCAAAAATAAGTCAAGACCAAAGAGAAAAAGAAATATGCTAGAACTTGAAATGGAAACCTACCCGAAGGACTTAGCTTTCCTGGATTAGATTCTCCTCGGCCACTCAGTTATGACCTCCTATCCACTAAGAGTTGCACCCTAATTTGCATCCGTTCACTCAACATATCCTCCCCGGAGTCCCTAACCCCCACTCACCAAGCCGTTGAGAACGGCCATCCACCACTTCGATTAAGAAAGAAATACCTCCTTTTCCAGTCCGATACCTTGGATGGGAAGTCATGCAGTAATTTACACCCAGGCCGATCGAACAAGTAGTAGCTATACATCCCGAGAGTACTAGAGGAATTTTGCTTTATGTGGCATATGCTAGCAAAGGTCTTGAGATCTAGGGGAAGTCGACGTAGTGACAGAAGGAGATGGTGTCAATTGGAGTCCTAATAGAATTGGGGTGAAGCTGATCTAGGCTAACATTGTAGTTGTTCAACACCTCAGGAATAAGGGGTGATGGGGGAACCAAAAACCCACTTTCAAGGTCTCCTCGAAGATAATGACCTCATCATCGTCATGCTCCCATGGGAACTAGGGGAAGGGAATATCCAAATTGGTTTGGTATCTGATACCGATCTACGAGCTCATAAACATCCTCGACAACTAGTTTGGTGGAACTAAACTTAGATTTATTTTTGGATTGACGACGAGAGGATGAGGCTTCCTAATTGGAACCTCACCGTTCTTGGTCCAAGGATCCCTCCTCGGCCTAGCAGGACGGACCCCTCTCTTCCCCGGATTCGACACCCTACATGATAAAAATAAAGAACGGATCAAGGGGAGATGACTCACCTAGAATGAATAGACCGACCTTGCCGACTACACTGATGACTTTGACAACGCCAAGCTCTGCAACCTCACTATGCACCAGAACTCCAAGGTTAAGGACGAGTGAAATGGGCCCCTGAGGGTCCTATTAATCGAACTATGAACGGTTGAGATCAGTTAGATCCAATGGTTAACAAGGATGCAATGGTTTGTATTCTAAGGAGAAATTAGTTTAGCACGTTTATGATGTCCACACGACCTATTGACTACATGGTGTCCACGCGTCCCTAGATCACTACCTCGTGCCTAGGCTGAACTGATTGAATCAACCCGATCCCGAGCCATTGGTCGGACCACGATCATGGGCTGAACTTAGACCAAATTATCTCAGGCTAATACTACTCCCTCATCGATCTGATCACGCTAGATTCAGGAGTGGGGGCAATTGGTGAGGGGTAATTTGGTCCTCCAATGATATCAAGACACGTGGCATTATAGAATAGTAGAATGACATCACGACACCACATAAGCAGACCCCTGGAGCACTTCAGACACTTCACAGCTACCTCAATGACCTTGGCACCACTTCGGTAGGGCAAACAATGAACAACCAGGCAAGACCTCAGGTTGGCGTAAGAGGCGACCTGCTTCCACCAATCTGACCCAACTCTGTTTAACGATCTGCCCAAAACAACCTCCCCCTTAAGCGGGCTATCACCTCCGAATCCCCTAGGATCAGGATGCCACATTGGAAGAGCCAGTTATCACCCTGCCCGCTTCAGGCAGGATTGGATAAACGTTACCTGCTTGCACAAAGTACACCTCTAGGTGTGAAACGACCTCTGAACCAGATAGGTCGGAGATCCCAGATGCACTTCATGAGCCTTACAGCAACTCGCCTATATAAAAATCTCACCTCCAACCTCACAAGGTACGCATGATTTAGCTCTTGCAATTCTTTAGTTCTCTTGCTTTCTTGCAAGCAATTACCAGTTCGCTAACTTAAGTATCGGAGTGCCAACCTCGGGTCTAGCTACCCGAACACTCTAATAATCACTTTTTTGTAGCTCGACCAGGTGATATATTCAGTCCGACATTCGAGCTGTCTACCGACAAGGAGCGTCAGATCACGCATCATTAGTGTCATAATTAAATAATAAAAAATAAAGAAATATAAGAACACAAAAAATACATAATATTTGTAAAAAACATTTATGACATCTCTAATATAGAATTACTTTATATACATAGAAATATATACAAAATGTAAAATAATTTGGATGTATATTACCATTTTCATCTAAAATTGTCATGTGCAAAGCACGTACAAATTTACTAGTCACTCTAAAAAGTAGCTAGAAAACAAGATTAAAGATCTCAATCTTGCGCTTATGTTTTGCACATGTCCACGCACGGTGTATTAGTTATTGCAATGCTCTCCACCAACTTAAATCCAATGTACAAATGCACATTTGCTTTTTGCAACTGGGCATGTTCATCATCCTCAAGTTTTAAAATCAAGGGAAAATTCAACTGTTTTTTTTCAAAAAAAAAAAAGAAAAAACTACTTTTTCTTTCTTTTACTTTCTTTCTATCTATAGGTGCAACTTGGGTTTGGATTTTGTCAAAATTTAATCGGCTCAGACAAAAAATCAATGCCTGATACATGTAAAATCTTGAAATTAGGTATCTAACTCACACCCCTATTTCTTTCTTGACAAGACCTATGGTGCATTTTATGGAAATTGTTGTAACATAATTCAATTCAAAAGAACCCGCAGTAGTGACACATCATAATGATATCATCAATGTTGTTAAAGTCTTTAATGGTAGGTGCACCATAAAAAGTAATTACATACATCCGTAATGATTGGTTAAAATTTTGATTTAACGTGAAACAAATATTGGAAATGCATCTTAATTAGATGTTTCTTTCTTTCTTTTTTTTCTTTCTTCTTCTTCTTTATAATTTGCAAAGCAAAAGTTAATTTGATAAAAAAATTCATTCCTGAAATGAAAAGGCACCTTAACAAATTCATCAAAATATCCAATAGGTCCCTTCACCTCTAAAATGTCAAATATGGAAACTCTCTAGTAATACAAGGTTGGGGCATATAGCATTATAAGACAACAACATAGGAAGGAGTCCAATAAGGCTGTATTTGGAAATAATGCAAATATGTAGAGTGCCAAATGGTTCATATAAATTGCAAAACTGGGTTAGTTTTGCACTGACAAATTTACCTTCTTACCAAACAGACTTTTAGCTATAATGGATGCAAACATGAATTCCAATGAAGCATTGCAAAACAGACTTTTATCAAAAGCCCACTTGAATGCAAATTTACTTTTTTTTTATTAATGTACTTTTATATTTTATTATCAATGTAAATATGCATTGGTCTGTCATTTGTCAATGCATAAATGTAATGTTATCAAAATACAGGCAAAAGTGAACCAGAATGCCAATTTACCCTGAACCAGGATTTACACTCCATTTTCATCGTTTCCAAATGTAGCCATAGGAAAAATAAGGGAAGAAAAAACAAAAAAAAAAAGAAAAACCAATAAAAATTGGGCAAAAATAATTGTTCTTTTATCACAAGTTCTATGATAAAACAACGTATTTTCGATAGCGGTACTGCAACGCAAAATGCACCGCCAATTATAAGAGTTGCAACTTGAGCCCTATGATGATGCACCCCATGTGTTTGTACAATCAATGTTGTAGCATTTCCTGTATTAACTATGGGGAACAGTAAGTGGGCAAAATTATAAAATCCTGGGCTGGACTTGGGCCGAATTGAAGAATTTCAACAGAGTTGGGCCCCTGATTCCGTCCAGGACCCATCTTAATGAAATACCGAATCCAACCCAACCCGTCTCATAAATATTACCTCTGTACTCAGCCAAGGCTATATTTAAATGCAAAAATTTCAAATTCTACCATATATCAACAGATCGGGCTTGGTGTGAATCGGTCTATCTCAACCAGAAATTGACCCAAAGCCGATTAAGGTTGACCCAAACTTAATCCGACGTGGTCTGGTCAAAGCGGGTTTACCACTTAACCAGACCCATTAACATATCCCTACTATTATATCCAATCCACCTCTCCCAAAAGTCCAAAACCCAAGAGAAACGGGACCAGAATTATTCATTGGGCCTTTTTCTTATATTTAAGTTGCAATGTTTTTATTGGAAAAAAAATTGTATGGAAAAGAGGCATAGACCGACCGACAGAGCAGGGGACGATGGTAGTTTTCTTGGCTTGGAATTGAAGGGACATGAATAGGTCGGCAGTTAGAACCACTCTTGGTCACTCGACTGGATGGACGGACGGAATACACTCCCACTCACTCACACCTCTCACTGCAGACATAACACACAATTAAACACTCATCACGTACCGTCCGTCCGTAAGGTTGACCGGCGGCGCCACCATCAATAGCCGGAGAAAAAGTCTCCCTCCCCTTACCGTCCTTCCACTTGTCACATACTCTCTCAACTTACACTCCATTCTTCTTCTCTCATCCACTAACAAACCAATAGCTCAACTAAAAACAAGGGCTCCCCCACTTTATGCACCATTCCCTTTACACAATACAACCCAACAGCAACATTTACTACAAGAACACGCATTTTCTTCTTTCCACACTTGAAAGTTAAATCTCTCTCATTCTCTCTCTCTCTCTCTCTCTCTCTCTCTCTCTCTCTCTCTCTAGTTGTAAGGTTTGTTACATATGGCTATGGTTGTGGATCAACAGACAAGTTTTAAGCATTATTGTAGGATTTGTAAGAAAGGATTTGGATGTGGAAGAGCTCTAGGTGGTCACATGAGAGCCCATGGCATTGGAGACGAGGCAGGACAGATTGAAGATGAAGACCCCGTAAGCGATTGGGAAGACAAGCTGGGAGGAAATAGTCCGCCAGGCAATAAGCGCATGTACGCACTACGAACCAACCCCAACAGACTCAAGAGCTGTCGGATCTGTGAGAATTGCGGTAAGGAGTTTTCGTCGTGGAAATCATTCCTTGAGCACGGGAAATGTAACTGCGACGACGATATGGAGTCTCCTGTGTCCTCGCCGTTGCCCGGATCGGACGATGAAGATGGTGCAGGACGAAGGAGTTGTGGTTGGTACAAGAGGAAGAGATCGATACGGGCTAAAGTAGGTAATTCTAATTCCAATTGCCCGTCAAGCGAGGAGGAGGACCTTGCCAATTGCCTCGTCATGTTGTCAACTGCTCGGGTTGATGTTGATCCACTTGTAGCCGATGCTGAGGAGTCTTGCGCTTCGGCTAGTAAGGAGGAGGAGAGGCGGAATCCGGTGGGCGTCGTGCCGCTGCAACTCCCCATTGCCCATCGGCTATCCAGTGAAAAAGCCAAGGGGGTTCCCGCCGGAGGTATGTTTGAGTGCAAGGCTTGCAAGAAGGTATTCAATTCACACCAAGCACTGGGAGGGCATAGGGCTAGTCACAAGAAGGTGAAGGGGTGTTTCGCTGCAAAGATGGATGATCTTGACGATAGCCTAGCTGAGGAAGATGTGATCACCCACGACGGATACGGCAACCCCACCAAATCCTCCATTAATGCAACTCTACCTTTCGAGCAGGTCTCCCAACTTCCTCCATTGGCGGCCATCCCCTCCACCTCCAAGAGGAAATCCAAGCTGCATGAGTGCTCTATCTGTCATCGGGTCTTCTCTTCCGGTCAGGCCTTAGGTGGGCACAAGAGGTGTCACTGGGTCACTTCCAATTCGCCAGCAGACACATCATCGATTGCCAAGTTTCACCAGTTCCATCACCAAACCCAACAGCTGCATCAGAGGCCCACCAAATTTAACAAGTCCGAGCCTCTAGATCTCAACCTCCCTGCCCCTGTCGATGACATTGCAGGAATTCTTCAGGATCCCCAGAATCCGTTAGGCCTTGAAGTTCCAACGGCCATTTTTCTACAGACATGGATAGGTCTAGACACCAATTGCAATACCCACTCCGATAAACATCACAACCACCACCCCAGTCTTAGTAACGACGATAACAATAACAACACCACCACAACCAACGCTAATACTTCGGTACAGAACGTGGATGATGAAGCAGACAGTAAGGTCAAGCTAGCAAAGCTAAGTGAGCTAAAGGACATGAACATGGGTGGTGAATCCTCGCCATGGTTGCAGGTGGGGATTGGTTCAATTTGTAATGGGGGCAGTGACCCCTGAAAGGTTTGAATCAGAGGTGCAACCTCATGCTGTATTTTGTATAACTGTAATTACAGATAAAACAAACCTGAATCCATGATTCCTGTCGCCATTTTATATACCCTTTTATTTTAATTTATAATTACTTTTTGTAAGTCCATGGGAAAAAAAAAAAAAAAAAAAACTCAACCGTGATTATTCTTGATTGGAGAATTGGGCCACTTACATTAAAAACAAAGCCAGATTAATTAGTTGGAGAATATAGCGAAAAGAAACTTATTGGGCTGAGATTAGTATTAATTTGTTGGATGAGTTTGCCTCCATATATTGTCCTCTTTATTCCTTTCACAGAGTGAAGGGACTACTGAAGGTTTCATTTTCTCTATTATTGGGAGATCCCACGCCAAAGGGCAAATGCGACCCATACCTAATAAATCCTCGTGGCCTAATCATGCAACTCGTCAATCCAATTCCAAATTGCCGACCCGTTAGTGATGATGATTTGGAATTCACTCTATTCAAATCACTTTCAGTCACTTTAAAATTATTCTATTGATAATGATGCAGTATTTGTAATGCACGATCTAATTCTAGCAATTACAACGTGGTTGATAATCGATCCAAATCGGATGAACAAAACTTAAAAGCTAGACAGGATCAGAGCACCAGAATGCTGGAAAAGAATCTTTGGTGGGACCAAACTCCTATGCTTTGTTGGCCACTGTCATTACAGCTGAAAGTTCGCCTTAAATATCTGTCTGAGACTCTGACTGATGGTTGACTCTCTAAACCAATGCAACAAACCCAATTAATCGAAGGAAAGCACACTGTAATCTCGGAACAGAAAGCGAGCTCCAAATTGACACGCGTCAAACATGAAAGAGTTTCGTTAGCATGTTTGGTTCCCTACCACACTTTAAAAAAAAAGGTACTTGTAGTTGTCTAATTTGTTGACCTACGCAAACGACCACTCAACGAAGAACAGTTGTGCGAAGCATGTGGCATGTGGGGCCGCTTCTTCTTCGATTTATTTCTCGCTTTCATTTTCGTATTTACAAACAATAATGCGCCACGTGGAATCATCCTGAAGTAAAACTTGATGGAAACTGGAAAGGCTGTTAGGTTGGTTAGCCCAGGCCCCACGGCTAAGCTGTTGTTTGACCGACCAAAATGGTTTAGGCTGATACTGTCCAAATCCGAATAGTTGTACCAGTAATTGAAGAGAGCGGACACCCATAGGCCGAGATCACATCTCCGCACCACAGCACATCCCCGCCCCGCCGTTTACCGGTATCATCTGGAGATGTTTTCAATACATGGCTGGGGAATTTAGATCTGCACCTCACAACGGAGCGCCCCACAATGTCCTACAGCGCATCTCGCCTTATATTAAAAACATCTCTTGATGATAACTTCATCAAGTCTTATATTATCATCAGAGAGATGTTCCCAATACAAAGCAAAAATGCACTGTGGGACGTTATGGGGCGCCCTATCGTGGGGCACAGATCTAAACTCGTTGTGAGGCGGCTCCATATGGGACGGAGATGTGAACTCCCATAGGCCATAGCCCAAATACGAGAACGGATTGACGAGGTTGATAGACTTCTTTTACTAATAATGGTGATCAATCATTTTGCTCTACGCCAATTATAGAGTGCATGTGGCCCACGATCACAGGTCCGGATCTGCTGACCACAAATCACTGTATACAACACCCTACCGCCTGCGTAACATTTCTTGTACTATTTTATTGCCATTTATGAGGAGATCCAGATGTTACTGTTGAGTTTAAATTGACTCTATCTTCTGGACTTGTAATGGGTCGATGCTCTTCAAACGGAGCGGATCTTATTCGAATCAGGTATATTCAAATTCAATTATATTGGATTCAATCGGATTTAGTACAACGATCTGAATTTGAATCTTATCAGGTCTTTGGATATTTGGATATTTGGATTTGATTTGATTCGACTTGTTTTCTTTACAAATTAATAAATTATTAAAAGAAAAAATAAAGTATATCAATTTAAATAAAGAAAAAACAAAAAGTACAAGTATTTTTTAATTTCATATATATATATATATATATATATTGTTTTTTATAAAAAAAATAATATAATAAATTTATAAGAATACAATATAAATAATATATTTATAAATAAACATATAACATATATTATATATATTTATATTTATAAATATATAACAGATCGGATCGAAACTTCTTGGATCGGATAGGGGGTGATCAGAATTCGATTTGAAGATCCGACCAGGGGTGATCCGAATTCGACCAAATAGGGTCAGATCATGATCTGGTCAATTTGCACCCCTAGATGCTCCAATACAAGGTTGGGCTGTGGTAGGGGCCAGTGTGAGACATCTTATGTGGGTAGGGATGGCAACGAGGCGGGTTTGGGGAGGGCTTTGTAAATTTTAGACCCTATCTACCTCCCTAAACCTCCCAACCTACATTCGCCCCAAAATTTATAGAGGGTTGGATTTTGAGAATCCAAACCCTCTCCATACATGAAAATACAAAACCCTCCCCAACCCTACTCTCCTTGCATTCAAGGGTAGGGGTGGGTTGGGTTTAGAACCCACATGTAATTTCTTGTTATTTCTTGTCATATATAAGCAATAAATAAGTATGATAATACAAATAAACAACAAAGTTTACAATTATTTGATTAAGACATAGAAATACATAAACTATCAATTATCTTTCATATAAAATCCATCTTATTATTAAATTCAACGCCCAGTACATAAAGTTTTTTATGCTTTCCAATAATATGTGGGTTAGAGAGGGTCGGGTTTAGCCTAATATCATACTCTAGCCATACCCATATGGGTTGTAGAATCCCTAAACCCATCCCCACCCGTTGGAAAGGGTAGGAATGGATACCCGTTGAGTAGAGTAGAAATTTTCCATCTCTATTCCCAAAGGTCCATAGATCATCATCATCATGCAAGCCTTATCGTGAGATCAACTACATGAATCGTACTCATTTCCATTGTTAAAATATCAATGCTTAATTTCCATGATAATGAGAGTTTTATAAAGGTTTTAGTAGCACCAACAGAAAATCATAGGGATGCAACAAATCGGATCGGATTCGAACCAATGTATATCCAAATCCAATCGGACACTGTTCTTGTCAGATCTGATCCGGTCTAAAGATTCAATCGGATCATATAGGCCTCGATTTGAATTCAAATCCTATCAGTAAGGCGGATCTTTGGATCTGATCCAATCCGACTTATTTTCTTTAAAAATTAATAAATTATTAAAAGAAAGTTAAAATATACAAATTTAAATAAAGAAAAAAAATACAAGTATTTTTTAATTATTTTCATCATATATATACATGCATTTATAAAAAAATAAATAATGCAAAAAATTATAAAAATACAATATAACTAATATATTTATAGATAAATAAATAACATATATTTATTATATATATTTATATTTATAAATATATAACATATATCGGATCAGATCTTCTTAGATCGGAAAAGGGTGATCCGAATTCAACCATATAGGATCATATTGAATCATGATCCGATCCATTTGCCACCCTAGAAAATTAGATGCAACCTTCCTTTTACTCGAGCTTGAGACTGATGGTACAAAATAAGTTCACACTAACAACATCCATGGTAGGTGTCGAATTTGGGTACATGTGCAACCGGCCCATCAATATTGCTAAATATTTGTGTGCAACCAAGGTTTAAAATTTCGATGCAATAGACCCAATACGGGGCGTATCATATCTTTGAAAAATAGATACGGGATACGCATGGAAATCGGACATCTCGTCTTTTTTTTCATGCGTATCGGACCCGCATCGAACCGTACCAAGGCGTATCGGGGCGTATCGGTAGCGTATCGACAAAAAAGATATGGCAAAGAATTGAAAAAAAAATAAAGGGAAAAAACAACTTATTTTCCTTGAAATAAGCCTTCTTCCACCCCCAAATGACTCTAAAACTCCAAACATCATTCCTATAGTGTTAGATTTGCAAAAAAAATGTAAGAAACAAGTGTGAATCGTTAATTTTTTTTGAAAAATTTTCAAATTTTGAAAAATATGGCAAAAATAGGTAAATTTGTTCAATTTTTTCTTAAATGTTTAAATTTATGTTGATCTACATTTCTTACATTCAAAATCATAATTTTTTTGGGTTATTAATAAATTTATGGAAATTTCATGAAGATATTTAGAGAAGATATAAATTAATAAAAAATTTGAAAATGTAATTTTTCTCTGCCTATAAAGACTAAGTATGTTTTAGATCTATGGATTTATCCATCATATCCATAGAGCAATTGGAATTTCTTATTTAGTATTTTTTTTATTTTTTATATTTTAGAACTAAAAAAATAATAATTAATAATTAATTATATTTTATCATTTGATTACAACAATTGAGTATATTATAATTCTATGGATGATCTTTCATATCCACAAACCAATTGAAATTTCTTATTTAATATATTTTTTTATTTTTATATTTTTAGAATTAAAAAATAAATAAATAATTAATTAATTAATTATATTTTATCATTTGATCGCAATGATTGAATAGATTATAATTCTATGGATGATCTATCATATCCACAAAGCAATTAAAATTTCTTCTTTAATAACTATTTTTTTGAATATATTATATAATGTTTATTTATTTTTTATAATTATTGAAAATAAATAATAAATATATATTGATTATATTTTTACTTAGAATTTGTGTCAATGCATATTTTATGGTTGGATAGGAGATTTGAGTTTTTCCCAACCCATAAAACATTGAAACTTAAGAATTATAATTTATAAATTATAGTTGAGCATAGGATTTTTAATGAAATTATAATTACCTACAATATATTTCTTCATAAAACCATTAAAATATATTAATTTAATGTATATACACCTCATTGAGGTCTTATATTTAGTGTTATTGATGTATTTTTATGATTTATTAAAGTATCTATAGTGTTTCCAAGCGTATCTATGTGTATCTTAGTTTTCCGATATGCATGCGTATTCAAGGCATATCCCAATACATCTCTT